ATCGAGATTCGAAAATGTTTTGAGAATTGTAATGTGAGCTTCCGGGTGGCATTGCGCTTTGACGGGTCATCAACCTGCATTTTTCCGTGTTCAGTGCCGCAAAGTCTGTTCACACACATTAAATCTTACGAATAAGAAGAAAAATTAACGAGTAATTTTTGCGTTTGCTTTGACCTGGAGACGATAGGATTAATAAGCTTAACTGAGTAATTAATGTAAAGCAGCATTTCCACGGGAAATAAAATATGGGCGGAAATATTTTATACATCGCAAGTCGAGATTCGGGGATTCGTAACTTCACCATCAATTTATATCGACGGCACAAAATACCAAACCACGAATCTCGGTCCGCAACATCGCAGACTTCCTGGCGTATTTTATTCTTTCAATGTAAAACAACTCAACGTCAACTCTTGAAACCTTCAGTGATTTTTCTTCTCTCTGTAAAAAATGATCCGTGAAAATTTTGAGCGATCGTCTTTAGTCGTCTCCTTTTTAAAAACTAAAAAGGGGGCAAACAATTTGGAACACCGCGCAAACGAGAGAGGTGGGAATGGTTTGAGAGTTTCACCATCAATATGTTATGATTGCTAAACGTTTCCGGTGCAATCATACGCCTTGTTTTTTTGTGAAATTTGTTTTATCGTTATTTTCTCCAGAGGGCTGATTTTTGAGCTTGAACTCTAGCAAAATTTCAAATAAATTAGTGTTGTAAAATTACGCAGTAAACATTTACACATAATGTTTTAGTGATTCAGGATCAATACAATATGTAATGCGGTTTCAAATGATACATATTTTCTCAAACAAAAATATTCAAATTTTCTTCGGAATGAATTCTTAAGGCAAAATCTATCATCAGTTTATTGGATCAGAATATGTGTTTTTCAGTGTATTTTCTAGCACTTTTTGTGTTTCACCATGGAACCAACAAACATTAAGTAGCCTGCAATAAGCTGCATTTATCATTCGTCAAAAAACATTTTATTCCTTTTTCATATCAACGTTCTTGCTGAGAAATTTCGAAAATTTCCACATAAAATTTAGTTTATTCACCCAGACATTGTTCATTATCGACCACATGAGCCTGAATTTATCAATTTCCTGTATACAAATGCTTTTAACGTTATTATTAAAAAAAGCTGTAGGTATTTAAATTTTCACCGAAATTCTTTATAATTTATTATTAGACGACCTTAAGGGACTTTATGGCCCATTTCAAAATTATCGACTCGCCGTTTTCCTGACCGAAGGATAAACACAATAATTCACCTCACCCAAGAAAACTCCATGATGTAAATGGTAAAGTAATTGCTATTCTGATACGGAGGAATGTAATATCAACGATAAAATATCACGGTAAATTCCACTTCATCATCTCATAGTTCCATTAACTCTATGGCCAGTGTAGAGCCATCATTGGCGACTCGAGAGACTTAAACGAAAGGATAGTACAGTGGGACACGTGTTGAATCGATATGCAAGGTTTCAATGTTTACAGACATCACATTAATCAGACGTAAACCTTAACATGCAATCTTCGAAGCGTTGAACGCGGCAACCATGAGGATGCGATTTACTCCAAGTTCAAGACCATGATTTGGACCATAAAAAGATCATGTGTAATTATCAGCGCTTAGTTTTTGAGCCGTGAGACCGAGTATCGTAAAATAATTAAAAGAAGCCGAGCGTGAAAATGAATGACTGCAGTAAGAATCATTTGAAGGGTGGAAAAATGAGAGGTAGGTGTCATTGTAGTTTTATTCAAAACAACCTAAACCTGAGGGCTAATTATTGAAATTGATAGACAAAGCTTTAGATAAAGAAGAAATGAGTATTATGAAGCGATTCTATTGGTTGAAATGGGAGGTTCTTTTAGATTAAGGGGGTAAATGATTGACTAACTAACTAAAGGGTCTCTCATGGGTTGCCGTTGGTTAGACTATCGCGTACCCCGTACCTCCTTTGTCCATCGCAACCACCCGCTTTCAGCAATATGATCCCTCCATATCCCTTTTGTATTTTTTGTCTATAGCTTTGTCTATCAATGTCGACAATCAGCCTGCTGCATAGGAAAACTTATGGCACATATGGTGTTTCTAAAATGAGCCAGAAATCGTAGCCCCTATAATAATTGCAAAATATAGTCCATCTCATCCTGAACGTTCGACTCTCCTCTGCAGTTAGCTACGGATTTTGATCGACTAAGAAACTAGCAGAACTTTACATCTCGACGTCTTTAACTTTGTCTATAAATTTCAACAATTAGCCTACCGGCTACACTAATTCGCACCACAGAGAGTAGTAGCCCCACACTACGCTCGCGCGAAATGTTCGAAATTGTCCTCACAGATTGTGCCGCCACTCATCAGAAATTTGTCCTAGGTCCAAAAACACCTTTTTGCTGTTGATCTTCGGCACCTGCCCTTCACCTTGAGTAGGTCCAAGCCCCACAGCGCTGCAGATTAGACTCAATGGTTCAATCTGACTGGGGCTGCTAACTACCCAAGTCGATGGTGATGTCATTACGTTACGCCTAACCCTCTCCACACATTGCCACTAAATCGATTAATTCCGCAAATCAATTACTCTTTTAAATATTCATTTCCTGAAAACTATCCTTATCACTACTTTGATAAACTCGTGTAAGATTTTTTTCAAATTATTTAAATTAAGACATGAGACAAAATAGCCGAGTAAAAATTTGGAAACCGAATATGTGTATTACAACCCTAATTAAAAAGAAGGAAATTGTCTTATGAATGCTTTACAGCAAGAATTAGGCGGGGGGTCAAGAGGTTAATAGTAAAATGTCTTACGTAACACTTGAACAGCCCATTGTAACCCTGGAACTCTGCTCCTTCAGCCCGAGAAAAAGGGCCCATAAAAGAGCTCCAATGCCAATTCCGAGGAAAACCTTATCACAATTTAATATCTTTGCAAATTGAGTCAGATTTTAAAATGCTTGTCATCGTGATTATGAAATCCGAGTTTTTCTCGTTTTCCCTTTCCCGGAAAATGGGTTAACAAGTGGCGGCATTTATGGATGCAATTAATACTCAGTACGAGCGGTCAGTCGGAGCTTGGCAATTAAAGTTGTTTTTCCCCCCTCCTGTTTTTCTTTTCTTTTTATTGGGCGGACCTTCTTTAATGCTCAAAGCTTGCACCTCGCTCAGACTTGTGGTAACAAGTCCATTATGACAGCCTTGCGCTGTGCACCCCTGGCGTGGAATCGGAAATTTTCACACATCTATTAATGACGAAGACACTTTTTCGCACGAGTTTGAAATATAGTTGCTATGAAAGTAATTTACAAGCACGACGTATTACGAGGCACCTGTCCCATTCTGCAGCTTTACTACTCCTCGTATTTTTCTCTTGATTTGTTTAATTAACACTAATACTTATGATGCTTGTTGGATACGAGTTGATTAGGATGGACGTCTTATCTTACGTGGTAATTAACTCGTGGTTTGACGCAGTCCATAGATAAATATGAAAATGGGGTGAAAACGGATTTTCCGATAAAATTTAAGCGACGCACGAATATCTTAATCGTTTGTATCCGCAGTTAACGCCGACATCTCTATTAAGTCCCCGAAAGGAAAACCATGTTGACGCCTTCATCATTAATTGTAATTGTATATTGATTGCTTCGGGACTGTTTGAAGTGTCATCATTACAGTCTCTTTGTGGTTTTCCTTAATATCAATTTTAGAGACGCGTAGAAAATAGAAATAAACATGCAACGAGGAAATAAGAGATATTAAGTTTGGATGAAGAGCCAAAACAAGAGGACGTGGATGATGATTCACGTTTTTTTTTTAAAAATACGAGGTGGAGCAGGCACATTTTTGAAAAATGTAAGACGTCGTCGATTTTTACTGGCTTCCTCCAGTTGATAAGTAAACATACTATAAATAATAAGGGGTAAAATAGGATAATAATATAAGTCAATATGGGTGGGGTAATAATATAAGTTAAGGCAGAGTGGCATTATTTAAAAATTGCGTTTTATTTGTGTTCTCTTTGATTGTTAAATTTTAAGCAACTGCGTAAGAAAAAACAAGTTGAGACACAGGAAATTTTTGAAGAATTTAAGACGCTGGTTTTGCTTTTTCAGTTGTTTAATAAGTACTTAATAAGAAAGTGAGCACCTTTCTTAATGCCAGTCACTTTTCCGCTTCAAATTTATGTGTATCTCAGATTCCAAAATTTTCCTCACGTAACTTCATTTCTTTATCGGGTCACTACTTTGCAATCGACAACCCTCAGAGGAAAACTGACAATCCAATGCTATGATTACCACGCAAAAAGTTTTTTCATGGCAAAAAATTTGATTTGTAAACTCCTCCGACGAGTCCAGTCTGATAAGCAACCAGAGGAGCTAAGTCGGAGCCTTGCCACAGCTCCTTCATGCCACCCGCCGCACTTTGAGCCGTGCTCGCGTTGCATATACTCTCAATTGAAGGAAAATGATTGACGTTACCGCAACGGCTTCATAAGTTGGCTTCTGACTCTGAATGCTGGATCGGCTCATGATGCCTGCTTTCAGCGCATTTATTAAAATATGATCGTTGATTCATTTTTCTAATCGTCTATAAACTCGCAAAAAAATGAAAAAGTGACAGACGATAGAGTATTCCAGTTGTAAAAAAAAGTAAGCAATGATAATCGAAAAAAACTAAAAATGTTTTTAAAAAATACTCGGCTGATAACTCAGGCATCGCGAGTCTCTGAAAAACAAATTAAACTTAAAAGAATCAAAAACAAACCACCCAACTTTATTTTATGATTTGGCACTCAGAAACATGCTGCAAGTTCTATTTACGCTAATGAGAGGACCATACCTATGTGTGTTCCGGAATTAGTATAAAACGAGTAAAATAAAAAGCTATAAATTATATCTACTGCCACAGAGTATTTTCTTACGCGTTTTTAAAAATTTTGTAATCTCTTGATCATTTCATCTACATCCGTGTGTTTTTTCTCTATTTCAGGAATACTTTTTTGGGTGATGGATTTAGTTTACCTTCATTCTTTAAGGTATGTCACTTCAAATATACTTTTATGGTATCGATTCCTGTATTATGCAATACATTTAATTCAATTTATATTATGTATTGAACGAAGTACTATATCGCAGTGAAATAATTGAATTATTACGCACGTTGAGATACGCATTTCTGCAGTTTCACCATCGATATGTATTTATTTTCTATAGCTACTGATAGTGCCTACAAATTTTATCCGTGTTTTTTCCAAATTAACTATTAATCGTATTCAAAGTTTGGACCTCATTTGATTGGTCAATTTTCGATTTTTGTTTTGGGTGTTCTTGCACTAACTGATGCGATATCTCAGTTAATTGTCGCATCCTAATTTTTTCCGGCTTAACGGCTATTTCGCTTTGACTCATTTTAGACTTTATAATTCGATGAGCAAAATTACCGGACCTTTTAGATCGTGAAAGAAGTAAATCATTCATAAATGTGGATTCACTCTTCGATGGTCAATTGAGAGTTACATGCAACAATATGGCTTGCGAGTGAGAATGCAATTCATGTGCACAGCGCAAATGGGCGATCCAAGACGCGGCTCCATAGCTCGCATTCGTGCAAACATTGTTTCAACTTTGCGGCTTGTCCACCATCACGTTTGCAATAAACGGAGCAGTGCTGCTTTTGCAATTTTGGTTTCTTTGCATTTGAATCAACTTCCATAATACCGTACACCGCACCATCGGCGATAGAAAGTTGTTTTTATGCAGCTTTGCGGCTTGGTGGGGTGAACGTTTCAGTTTTAGCATTTCAAACAGATCCTGTACAATTGCTTCTTCTTATTTACAGTGGCGGTATAAGAGAGTTTGAAATAAGAATTATTCAGGAGATGCTTCCGCCCATAATCTCCGGCAGACATGACCATGCTTAGAAATACGTTAAAGTCAATGAAAATGATACTTTCCTTAAAGATTTACCCACGTTTCACTTTAAGTACTTCGAATGTGTTGCCTAAAAATAAATAATAATTATATAATAAAAATAAAAAAAAATAAGTGCCTAGCACTTTTTCAAAAATCCGTTTCATTTCAGAGGATTTTTTCCTGGGTTCGAAGCCTATCTTAATTTTTTCTACTTTTTTTTCTAATCGCTACATGGTTTACAAGGTCAAAAGTTGATTTTACCAAGGATGGAGCTCAAAAGTAGAGATTTCGTTTCATATGAAGGGCTAAAGAACGATCCATCGGGAGATATTCTGGAGCATTACATCATTTTTGTTTTATTGTACACTTCAAATACCTTTGAGGAGGTAATCCTGCATTTCCATAGTTATAGTCTCATCCCTTCTCAGTCCTTACTTAACAACCATCCCCAGGCAACCATCAAACTCGGGTCACCTTTCCAGAAATCGAACCTGGAAAATAGGCGAATTCAGACACTTCGAACAGGGGGATCCGGGGGCTCCCTCCGGAATTTTTTTGAAATTGTATAGCATCTATCATGCAGTTTCGATCAAAGTCATGAATAATTGTCAAATATAAGCGTTCTTATTTCTTGCTTCCTGTTTTTCACTCCTTTTTTCCTGTGGAAGGGGGAGTGGGTTGGTGTACGTTTCCTGCGCCCCCCTCCCTGGATCCACCTATGACCCGGAACCCCTGATTATAGAGTGAGCGTTACAGCCACTACACCATACATACATCATGTATAGATCATTCGCCAGTACGTATGTTTGACTGGACTTGACTCGAGGTTAATTTGTGAGTAGTGACACCATCGAACTGCATATTTACAAAGCTTTAAAGAAATGATAAACGATGAATTGCAAATCCGTAAAATGAATTTTCTGATGATTCATACTTTTTTGATGTTCTAACGGCTATCATCAAAATAACACAAAAAGCGCTAAGCCATTGTTTCTACTACGATATAAATTTAGGCCGCAATAGTGCCGGGCTCCGAATCCCATACTTCCAAAAGTCTGAAATCAACAAAATATATTGTCCTTCGAAAGAGACACTATCGATGTTCCACTCACTGAAAAAAAAAGTTTGGTGGTATGTATCAAAGTTCGGTGTTGTATAGCATCCCAACTAATTTGGTTTGTCAAATCGAACTTGTGCGGTAAAGTGAACTGACAAACTAAGTTTGGTCATATTATATGCCAAACGTTCGGTTACACGAAACCGAAAGTTCAGCTTGACGAACCGAATATTTAGGATGACATGGAACACGGAACGTTCGGTTCACATGGCCGATTTTTTTTCCAGTATACCGGGAGTACCTATAGGTGCATATGATCATCATCTTCCAAGATGACCCCTTTGGCAGAAAGCACTAACAAAACAAAGAGACAATTCTAAATAAACAAGAGAGCCCTGCGGTGTATGAACCTGTCTTTGATGTATTCCGGTGGCCGCACGCAATAGGCCCTGGGCTACCGGAGNGGGGGGGGGGGGCAAGTGTAGACACCCCAAGTAATTTATGCGATAAAAAAGCAGTTCTCTTTTCGACCCGCGACTTTGGCGCACTTGCTGACGACTGATACCTCCTGGGCTATTGGAGGGCATGTTGCAAGAGTCTGGTCGTAGGGTACGAGGAAGATTCTAGAAATCAATTTTGTAAGATATCTTCGGCGCGGTGGTGGCTGGTGGCTGCCCGGCATCGTGTACGTTCATTCATTTCGTCACCGCAAGGCTGCGCCACTACCGCTCCGCACCCGCCAGCGTCTGCGTTCCCCGCTGCATTTTATGGACTTAAACTTGCAAACCCACCGCACCGCCGATGCAATGCAGCGATGACAATTTCTCCACCAAAACTCCCCTATTTTAATTGCGTTTTAATTACGGAATCTGGGAACAGGCAACATAGCTGGAATGCATTCGTCCAAAGTACATTCGAAAATGGGTCTACTTCTGCTTGCACGTCGCGTAGAATATCGCCGCTGGCTAAAGTTGCCAACTTTCATTCAAAAATGTTTTTCGTTTTATTTATACTGTAAGTTTTTCGTCATTGATCGATATTTGACAACGTCACGCAAGACCAGTTCGCAGTCTCTTTGTTCCAGAGTGGGAGCTTTCACGCGACATAAATGGACCATCCACACACTCTATTCTTCTATCTATTAGTTTCATCCATTATTTTTACTCTTTTGCTGTCATGTACTCTATCTTTCTTGTCACTTTTCTATTCGAATCTTACCATGTTCAGAAAATTGACAAAGAATACACCATAGACGGCGGTGTATATCAGTGAGAGGGGGCAACAAAGTGTTGAACAAGGGGACCATTCATTCCCTGGACTGAAAACCTAACTGTCCAACCCTTCAAATCTGAACTAGATCTTTGCTATTGAGGCTCCTTACAATCAGGGGTTTTGAGTGAAGCCAAAGTTATTTTTTTTATTTTATTTTATTTTTTTTTAAAACATCCTTTGGGATAAAATGTGAAGAAAAAGTTGAGGGTGGGGGGAGTGGGCACCGATTTGAAGCGGCAGAGGGGCGTGGGTGGTAAACGTTGAACATAACCCCAAGTCATGTCATTCCTCACTTAGATGAGTCGGAAAGTGGAGCGGCTACTTGAAAAGCACTGCCCCGAAAAACTGTGTCCGAGATTGTAAATTTGGCATCACCGCGCCGCCGCCTAATTACGCCCCAGACCCGAGGTTGATGCTTAAAATTGTAGCATTTTTAGTCTACTTTCGTTCAGAAAGTTAAAATAACCATCTAAAATTGCTCGGAAAAAGTTACAAGGAAAAAACCTTATGAGACCAAATTTTGACAGGTTTAGTTTTTTCCTGGAAAACCCTGTGGTGGGCACATTTTTTATCGGAGAAATTTCTGGTTGAATTGGAAAAGGAACCACAATTTCATCTCCTCTCGAGTGAGTACCACGCAAATACCCAGAATACCAACGGTTTCTGAGTTATATGTGAATAACCGTGAGAAAATAGTCGTTTTTCTGCCTTTTTTCGACTTTTGGGGGTAGGAGGGGGCTCTCCGTATCCTGGAGAAGGGAGATTTGGATATTCGTTTAGAACCCTTCATTGATGAGAAACCCGGGGAGAAAAGAAGTTGCGCTATCCGAACCGCATGAAAACACCGAATGACTGGACTAGGTGTCTGGCACGGATCGTCATATTTCATAAAATCGAAACACGATAGGAAATCTGCAACGTTGCATCGCGAGTTGCGAAGTTTTGCAGTTTTTCCGTACAATGCTCGGATATCGGGGTAAGTTGTTCCGTATTAATAGAAAAAGGATGTGCGGCAAGAAGTCAGAGTCAAGACCAGATGTCTCATATCGCCTTCAATTTTGATGATACCTCACTCACATACTTAAAGCACGAATAGTGGTATGAAAGAGCCGTGTCAGTTCAATAGCTTTGCTCTGTTGTCATCTCTTGTGTTTTCGCATCGCAACGGTTTTCTTGCAAGTATCTCGGTTCGATAGTATTCGTGCGTTAAATTGTGAAAAACTAAGATAAATTTTTCACAAATTTCACAGATAGTCGTCTGTATAGTTTTGATAGAAAAAGTCGTTCTTAAGCATAGCACATAGTCAAAGTCAAGAGCAGATGTTCCATTTCGCCTTCAATTCTGAAGATACTTCAAGTACATCCATAAAGCACGATTGGTAGTACCAAAGAGCCGTGTGAGTCCGAGAACTTTGTTCTGTTGTCATATCTTTCACACCTCAACAATATTTTTTAAGCGAGTGGGTTTAAAGCAGCATACAGCTGTCATTTTAACATTTAATCGTATTTGGAACTACAAATCTGAAGAAATGATCTAAATTCAAGTCTGAGAGAATATCATTATTGCCAATAATTTATTGGTTGAGTCGAATTTTATTTTTAATCGATATCTGCGCTCCTCCCCTCTACCTCATTATTTCCGGTACAAATACAGAAATTCCGTCGGAATGAATGACTCGTTTTGTGAGGCAGCAATGTGGCGGAATTTTCCCGAGTAATTTTTCAAGGACCAAATTACAGTAGAACCTTCAACTGCGGACACTAGATGCGTGTTTTTACGTGAAGTTTTCAAAA